AGAAAGTGATTTTTGAATGTATCAGTTTAATATCAAAACAATTACCATAAGAAGTATCTCGGTTTGATAGGTTAAGATGTAAAAAAAGTGGCATCATGGTCTGAATATAGGCCTTAGAGCAAGAAATTGTACCCCAGTTCAAAATACAGTCTCCTTCAATTATCTCAGGGAGATCACAACTTTCTCCTTTGTTTCCCTACACCTAACAGAGGATAGCACTGCCTACTAATCTGTATGGATGTGCATATATTTTTTGAATAATGCTGATCCTGACAGTAACTCTCTCTGGGACTACTGCTTGCAAAGCAATGAGCAGAGCAGCAGTGGATGCTCTAGGAGCCAACCGAAAACTACGTTAAAGAGCTTTCTGAACAGTGGCAAATGAAACTCATTAAGATACATTAGCATGGCTACCTCCTTAGAAGATGTACATTTCTAAGTCAAGGTCAAGACAAAGTTCTAAAGAAAAAACTCTGAATCTGAAGTTACTAGAATGTTGAACAGATTTTAAAATTCAAGGTTAATAAAGCATGAGTATTTCTACAGAATTGCTTCTGTAACCCCTATCCTTTTTTTTTTCTGTTGCATGCTGTGTATTAGCCAATCCTCCCTCATTCTTCAAAGTTTCACTGTAATTTTACTTCTGTCTATTGGAGTCCCCAAATCAGTCTGAAAACAGGTATTCCTATTACATTGCTCTTTTACCCCATCACTCACTGCTCTAGTACATCTTGAAGCCCTGCCACCAGATAGTGCAAAACAGAGAAAAGCAACACTGATTTTGGATCATGTAACCGTGCTGAAAACAATTTGGGTGGGTATATTCCTGTTGTAGGAGGCAATGAAGGTTGTGCCCTTAGAATATTGTCCAATGACAAAAACAGTACTTAGTTTCTCAGTTCCCATGTCGAAAGTATTTCCATGAATAATGGAAATAAGTTATGAATAATATGAGTTAGATGGGAAAAACCATTTAGATAAATACCCATCAGTTATCTGCCATAATGGCAACCAGTTAAATAAGTACATTCCTCTTATCTAGTCTTTTATTTCTTATTAGCATTTAGAGTGTGCCCATCACCCAACTAACTCTGCTCTAAATATAGAATTGATACCTGCACAGAATGTACTATATAATCTAGCCTTGTGTCATTACTGACTTTAGCTACTTAATTAGCGCTATTGCCTCCTATGTTCTGCATGCACCAGATAAAATAGTATTAACTGAAAATTCACACTAGATTTACTGTTAAAACCATTTGATCTTTAAATTCAATATTTTTAAGAATAATCCCTTCAGAGGAATAAACTGCTTTATACATATTAGATTGTTCTTTTTTTTGTTTCCTATTATATTTATAACATTTCCATGCTCTTGGGAATAATAATGCCATCTGTATATATAACGACGTGCTGCAAATCCTTCATTTGGGAGTATCACTAGGTAATTTAAGACATAAACCCAATTTCTTTTCCTGTGTTTTGGCTGCAGAACTCTGTCTCACAAGGATCATTATGTACCTAATAAGGTTTCATGCAGAATTTTTCATTTAATAAATTGTTTAATGACAGTAAAAACATATAGATTCAACTGAAATATCTTCATCTGTTGGTTTCATTATTAGGCTAAAAAAAGTAGTCAAGTTGGAAATAATTTGCTTTGAGAAAATTAATTCTTTATATTGCTTATAATTCAATTAGCAGTTGAAATATATTTTTTGAATACTTGATTTTTATTATAAATTAGCATAATACTAGATTATTTCTGGCAATTAATGCCAGGATTACTGTGTTTCCAACAAACTCGCTCTAAAGCAGAGAATAGCTAAAGCGGTTAACAGAGACCAAAAGTTATATTCTTTGAAGACAATTTTTGGAAACAGCTCTGGTCTGTGAAATCTAGTCACATCTCTGAAAATATGTAGATCATGAGGCCTTCAGATTTTGTAAAAATAGTTGATTAACTGAGTTCACTTAGCTACTTCAGACCTCTCTGTTTTCCTAGACAGCCCTGTTTTCCTATCTTGCGTTTTACCAGCATCTTAATGACCTGGCGACTCTTTTTGGTGACACTGATCTTTAAGCTCAATTAAGTTACTTTGAGGTATGATAGGAGACAATGAAGCAGATATTTACAGAAATAAAGCAAGCTTCTGATTCTGCTTTGGATAATACCGCTAAGGGAAAAACTGAAATGGGAAGGGAATGGGAAGGGAAGTGAAAGAGAGAAAAGGAAGGGTAAAGGAGAAGGGAGCAGAATAAGGAGAGGAAGAAAATAGAGAAGAACAGGATGAGAAGAGAAATGCAGAGTTCTACACTTCTAGCAAATGTTGTTTCAATACCGTCAATTAAAGTGACATCAGTGAAATTTGTTGCAATACTTACTGTGATTAGTCACATTAGTAAAGCATTAAACCTTGCTTTGGACAGAGTTTGGATTGTACAAGTGTTAACTACAGAAAAAAATGCATCTGTAAGATAGCATGGATTGTGCCAACTACATTCACTTTATGCTAGCTAGGATGGGTAACAGTAGTGAATATCAAGCACACAAGGGAAAACCCCTCAGCAGGATCTAGCTGAGAAAAGAACTCTGGAAATCTACAGTGCGTACAATACCCTCTTTGCTCTCTATTCCCTATGCTGATTAGCTGAAAGAAGCAGCTATATGATAACTACTTCTACTTTTTTGTGCATTCATGTGTACAAAGGCAATGGCTCTCATACTGCAGTCCAATCCACCACACTTGTTTCTACTACTACAGCAGAGATAAACTTCTTTTGCTATTTAATCAGTTTTGCTCATCTTATGGGAGAACAATCTGCAGGAAAAATGCATTGTGACAGGCATTCAAACCACATAGCTATGCAATGTGAAAGAAAAAATTTATACAGTCAACATTGCAAAGAGGCATCACAGGATTTTGGATTGCATACCTACCTACACAGCTTGTTCTGTAAGGGCAGGTTAGTCTGTTTCCTCTGTTCTGTTGCTCAGGTTACATGCAAGAACATTCTTAGAACTGGAACTGAACAAGTGCTAGAAATAGATTGGTCTAATATTACATTTCCTTTTAGAACATTCCCAAAAGGACTGCATACTGACATGTTAAGTATAGGAAACTTTAGGAAATTATTCCACTGAGTCATCAGTACTGTACTGCTTACCATATGAGCTTCTCTTGTCTGTTAAGCCTACCTGCTAGATAGCTTTAGAAACCAAATTAGGTAGTTCATTCCACTTGTATTACTGCAAGGTTTGATCTTGAACCCTGTTTTCCAAATGCTGTGCCTGAACTTATCTTTGATTTCCTTATTTTTCTTCATTGTCTACACACATTCTGTAGCTGCACCTACTTTCTTAAAATTTTTCAACCTCAGTAGAATTGGTCTACTGAAAAACCCCCACACAACAGACCAAAGGGCAGGGCATCTGACAGTCTCTGAGACACCAGGATTTAATTTTCCACAGTACTAAAGACTGCCTGTGAGCCAGACCTATATTTGATAGAGACCTTTGGGGTCCCACACCACTCTGCAGAATTTAGTGTTGCCAGTTCTAATTAATTCCATCTGAGTGATGAAATCTTCATTAGGAGAGAAGCTACTTTGGCAATTATGTGAGAAACTTCATCTTTCTCCTCAATTTTAGACAGACATGTAAGAAAATTCTTTCTGAGTGTCTCCTTGCCATGTTTGTTTTTCTATAGGACTTTAATGATGGAGACTTTAAGGATGATGTGAGAATTCTACAAAACGAAATGTTCGGTTTAGTTGCCTAAAGACCCTTGTGACTAATATTTCACCTGCCTGTCCATCATGTACTTTGTCTGAAAAAGAATATTTTTTCAAAATAATTTTGTTTTCTTCTTATGATGTGTCCTGTGAATTACAATTAATGCAAAAATAAAAGATAGAGCATACACATGATTGTTTCAATACAGAGACATAGATCCCCTTTCATGTCACTGGATCCCAACACTTTGAGTATAAAAAGTATCTGTACAGAATGAATGTCTATAGAAGCTAGGCTGAAGTCTATGTCACAATTTAATAGACTGTTATTATTGTAACCATATGGCAGCTAGAACAACATATTTGAAATGAAAATACTAAGTGGGGGGGGCTCCTTATTTGAAAATATTAGTGCCTTTATGTTGTATTTCTAAAGCTGAGCAAATGTTATATTTAGATCTAAGAAGCAACAGGGTATGAATTATTGCACACTAATTCACAACTAATGTGTTGCTGCGAATGAAGCTAAAGGCTGAGTGCAATCAACTCTGTTCCATCAGTACAACATTAATTCACACACTAGAAGATCTTACTGCACTTATAAAAATATTATTCCAAAAGGTCACAGAATCTAAAAATAAATGGTAATGTAACCAGGGTCAAGTTCCAAGAATTATTATCAAGCACCAGTTTGATCTATATATTTTAAAAATAATCACATGTATCACGAAGAATTTGTGTATGCATTAGCCAAACCTTGCCACATTCCTGATTTCAGCAATAAAGTTGCATCTAAAAACACTGAATATTGAGTTCCTGGCCATACGTGGAAAATAAAACAAAATATGTCTGCTGCATCTGTTCAGACAAACAGGTATAAATCAAATGGATACAACACAACATTTTATTCAGACGTGATATTTCTGAAGGACACATCTGGATGTACTTCAAAGCATCATGGACTACCCAATTTTCACATGTGTAGGCCTAAGGAAAATCCTGGGGTTTTTTGTATTCCATCTGCATTTTTGGAGTTTAGATACCTGGGGACTTTTTGGGGGAAAGTTTTTTTGTATTTTATATATTTATGTATTTTATGTATTTTTTTTATGCTATGTTAATTGGCTTCCCAAAATAAATATTTTATGGGAATTAAGTGTGGCTTTAGGGAACCTAATGAAACTTTCTTCTAATGTTTAAATAAAGAGTATGCATTGATTATGGCACTGTCTAGTGTTTACAGATATTTAAATAGGTTTGAAGAATATTTTCAGGTTTTTATTTAACCATGTAATGGCTTCCACTATGGAATAGACCAGGAATAGGTTAAAAACAAGCTGGGAGGGACCTTTTACCAAAGGATAACTGGGGTTATGACTTCCCAGCGGCTGGAGAGGTTGTCTTGCCTTTCTACTTTTATTGGGACTGACAAGAAACAGAACCACAGAGAAAGGCTGTGCACGTGTTCCATTTGGAGATCTGTCCCAAGAAATGGCAGCTCTAAAAAAGAGCCTGTAAGGAGAGAAAAGATTTGAATAAATTAAGGGTGTTCAGCCTAGTGGTAAAGAAAGCAAAGATTTGAAAAAGTACAATTCAGCAATTAAAAGGAGATTTCAGATCCTAGAATTTAGCTTTGCCCAAGAAAGAAAATTAATTACTCTAGGACTCATGTTTATATTTCTATACATTCCACTTCAATATATGTGCACTTCAATATATTTCCAATGCATGTGATCATGAATCTCAATACTAATCCAAAGACTAATCCAATTTTTAATATTTAATTCTAAGCCCAAATGCCTCACAACGATAATTTAATTTTCATTAATAAAACTATACCTGCTAAGAAGTATTTGAAAAATTTTGTGTGTGCTGGAATTTCATTAAGAATATTGGGACAATTGTACTGATTTAAAATTAATCAGATTTATTCTATCAGAAGAAAATTCTAAATTTTAAGCAATTATTAAAAGGAATTTTGATTTATCAAAATCAAATTTATACACTGCATCCTCAGCATAAAGATTCACACAATGTAGAATTAAAAATACTCTATTACGGACAGTGGATTTACACTGAAATTAATCTACACAAAATTTGATTTATTTAATTACATTTCTTTAATAAGATTAAACAAATTAATGCCAAACATAAATAATTTAAGAAATTTATGTACTCTTTTAAGAGTGAGGTGTGGTAGTAGGAAATAGCATAATGTTCTTGTGGTAACTTAGCTATTGTACTCGTATTTGTGAAAGGTTTTTTAAGAGTCATTTCATGTGATAAAGAAACCAGCTGTCCTACTCAGTTAAAACACATCTCTCAGGTGGAGACTAACTGTATCTATTCTACATCAAAAATGTTTTGTATGCTATTAAATAGGCAGGAAATTCCTAAAGACAAAATATAGGCAAAAAAAATTGGTATTACACTAAAGAAAATGATTGTGTTCCTGACAGGAGAAAGATATGTCAGAAGATGGCAGAGCTGTGCCACGTGAGTCAAAGGGCTGGAATGTTGTCTAGGGCCCTCAGGGAGCTAATATCAGGTCTCTTAAGAGATGAAAAATAATAATTAAACACTGCTTATCAATTAATGCCAACTTAAAGGAAGGTTCTACACTTAGATTAAGTGAGAAGATTGGGTTGCTTGAAAACAGCAAGAAAGGAGAAAGAAAAGGACTATGGACTAATGAAAGATTCAAGGAAAAAGCAAAAATAATTAAACAGACATGCACTTACACAGAGTTGGAGCACTCATATTTCTAATTAGAATTTCAGTGCAGGAGCCCAATTTAACCTTAGGGAGCCTTACAGTGATGCACAGCACTCAATCTAATACTGATATACCAGTTTGAATTTTCATATTACATTTAGCTGGATGTTGTTATTTATACACATAATATATTTCAATTTTAGGGGCATTGTAGTAGCTGTCTATAATATCTGCTTGTGAGAAGGGTTTTTTATTGAAAACCTAAAAACTGACAGTTAATTGCTTTTTTCTCATTTTTACATCATTATGAATGCATGTGTTTAGTTCCCTTATTGTTTTAACTGATGAAGTTCTCATATTTTTGAGGTATTATACAGTATTGTCATTATTTCAGAGGCAAGTTTTTTTCAATATATAACATATCCAGAGAAAGCACAAAACCATGCAAACATTTAACAGGTTTAAGATTGTGCCCCAGCAAAATGGCTATAATGATACTACAAAACCTGCATCCTCCATCAGTTTCCAACCTCTGTTGAAGCCTGTAAACTAACAGAAAGTCATTTTCTTTATATTGAGTCTTATCTCCCACCTAAACAGATGTGTCTCAGATTGAAAGAGCAGTCAGTAGATCAGGAAGCTAATTAGACAAACTAAAAAGTTCTGGAAAATATTCTATTCTACAGAATACTGTAGCTAAAAAATTAATTTATTAACAGTTTTTAGCTCTGTCAAAGAGCTATTTCTCATTCCTAAAATCTGTTTTCTTCAAAACACTTGACAGGAGCTGAAACACTTTAAATATAGCTGAAAATGTAAATTTCACAAACAGTATTTGGGTTTTATATCGATTTAGATTGTTGGCATCTTTACTTCCTGTTGTATTGTCTAAACTATCATGTACATATCATTCCGTTTGAACAAAATTCCTCCTAGTTACTTCACTACTTAGACAAACTTTAGTCAAGTGTCATGGATGGCAAGTAGGGCTGTGCTGGAAGGGTTAATTTTCCATTTCCCCACCAACAATGCTCAATGGGGCATATGTGCTGCTGGTCATGTGATGCAATTACAGCTGACAGCCTGTCCTGTCCCCTGAACAGCTGGGTCTGATCCTCAGATTAACGTATTTAAAGCCGTAAAATCTCTGTAAGTTGTAATGATCAAGAATGACAACACTTTTTAGAGTATATCCCATATTCCTACTGACCAATACTTTTCATGGGAAATTCCTGGCTTATGCTCAAAGAAAACAGAGAAAAGTAACTAGTGAAATACTTATTACCTGTGAATTTTATAAAAATATTTGGTTTGCAATTTCATGTGTCTTTATTCCTATTGATGAATTTTTAAAATTACCCTTCTTTAAGCACCCAGAATGTTTACACGGTCCTTGCACACTAACATCTGCTAAGCTTTTTTTTGTTCAAGAGGAATAATTCATGCCTCTTGAGTTTGCACACGTTTCCCATATGCCTTGAAAATCATATGCTATCACTCCTTTCTTGTCAAAGGTTTTAATTCTCCATACATTTATCAAGGAAGAAAAACTGCAAACGCACTTTATTTTCACAAGTTTTTCACCAACCACTTTACATTTTGAATCCCTATACATTTACAAAATTGTTCCCATGGAAACTAGAAGGAAAATTTTTCTACAATATTCTTGATGGATGAAATGCAAGTAAAAATGTATTTAATAATTTTAGCAAAAACTTTCAGTGTTTCAGTTCTAGCTCAGATTTTTAAGAATATGTTTTGAGTGTGGTGTTGGGGGAGCTCTTTCAACATCCATGAAAAGATTCAGATACTAGCATGCTTCTGTGGGCTTAACACAGCCCCCATGGCTTTTCTGCCAGTGGTATGGTGGTGACAATAAAACTTCAGAAGTTCTGATTTGGACCACAGACCTCAAGTTTTTGAAACAAGAGATGCTTTCTACATTACTAGGTTGGATCAGAGGAAAATTCATCATACAGTTTGCTCTACAGGAGAAACTCTAGTGACCTCATGTAGGCCCTCACTGATGAGAAAGAAATGGCATTAATGACATCCTATCACTTTTGATTTTTTCTACTTTCAAGTTCCATGGACTCAAGAAGTTACATATGACTGGTGTGGCAGGTGAGATGAGAGCAATAGGTGTTTTACACAGACTTCAGTACTGCTTCTAGCACTGTCCCACAAGATTCTCCTAGAGACACTGGTGAAGTATGGGCTGGATAAGCAGACAGTGAAGTGGATTAAGAACTGACTGAATGGGTTCAGAGACACAACATCTTGTGTGAGGCTGGTATCTAGTGGTGTACCCCATGGACCTACACTAGGCCTGATTCTTTTCAGCATCTTCATCAATGAGCTGGGTGATGGGGTTGACTCTACCCTCAGAAAGTGTGCTGATGATACAGAATTGGGAAGAGTGACTGATACACCAAAGTTGTGCTGCTATTCAGAGGGACCTTCACAGGCTGGAGAAATGGGCTGACAGGAAGTCACTGACACTGTGCAGTTCAACAAAGGGAAATGCAGTGGGAAACAACCCCACTCACAGTCACGCTGGGGACCAACTAACTGAAAAGCAGCTTTGTGCTAAAGAACATCCAGCACCTAGTGAACACAACACTGAATGTGAGGCAGCAATGCATTCTTGAGGCAAAGATAGTTAATGGTACCATGGACTGCATGAAGACAACTTTTGCCACCTGACTGAGCCAGGTAATCCTTCCCCTTTACTCAACACCACTGAGGCCTTCTCTGAAGTATTGTATCCATTACTGGGCTACTCGGTACAACAGAGACCTGGAGCTACTAGAGAGAGATCAGTGCAAGGCCACTAAGATGGTTAAAGCACTGGAGCATAGCTTCTAAGAGGAGAGGTTGAGCAAGATGAGACTCTTTAGTCTGGAGATGAGATGGCTTGGGGGGATCTTTTCAATGTATTTAAATACCTGAAGGGAGGGCTCAAAGAAGGCAGATCCAGGCTCCTCAGTAGTGTCTGCTGACAGGAAAATGGGCACAAACTGAACACCAGGATGTTCCATATGAATACAACAATACACTTTTGTTTGTTAGTTGTTTTTTTACTGTGAGGGTAACAATGGGACAGGTTGCCCTTGGACATTGTGGAATCTCCATTTCTGAAGATGGTAAAAAACCCAAAAAACAAAACGCATTTCGGACATGGTCTTGGGCATCCTGCTCTTGTTCACCCTTCTCAAGCAGGGCAATTAGACCAGATGACCACTAGAGATCCCTTCCAAAATCAACTGTCCTCTGATTCTGTAACTGTGATCTGTCAACACAATTGGTAAAACCTGCCTTTTGGCTTTTGGAGTGTACATACAACTTGGTCCAGAAATAGCTATAACAAAAACCTTCTCTTAAGAACTCAACTATACCTAACTTTTGCTCCTAAGATCACATTCTGCAAAACAGGTCAACCTAGATATATGATAGAAAGGTACTGACATGATATGTGAACATGCAGTCAAGAGGTGTTCATTTTATATGTATTTACATTTGTAAACTATAACTAGGTCTGACCTTTATGTTGATTTTTTTTAAATCTACAAACCACAAATAACTTCTGATAATAAAAAGGCAAGAGTAGGGGATCAGAATGAAGTGTAAGATATGTAAAAGAGTACTCATTTATAAGAGGAAAAAAAAGCAATGTCAGTAACATATTCAATCAAAAAGGCTTTTGAAAAGCCTCATCCTCTACAGTAACATTTCTTTTTTCCCAAAAAATCTACAATTTCTCAGGTTGCAATGAGTCATGTCATGTAATTGAATGT